GGCGGACCGAGCGAGAGCGGCGGCGGCGGCGGCTGGACAGACATGAAACCAGAGTATCCCCGCCGACTTCGTCGCAGAGGATACAATACTATATGTTGTTGTGTAGATACAATAATGTAACCCAAACCCAAGATAGGGTTACAAAGCGTCCCTATCCTTTTGTGTGGAGGAACCACACTTGAATTTTTATAACAGGTTATATTAGTTTAATACAGAATATTGTGATACATAGTAAGTTCCGGGATAGCGGAGAAAGGTTCGTGTTAAGAATAAACCCAGTTTGGAAGTTCTAGTTTTTCTGAAAACGCACCAGCAAACCTCCCTGAGTGATCCACTCAGGGGTTCCTCCACACAAAAGGATAGGGACGCTTTGTAACCCTATCCTGGGTTTGGTTTACATTATTGTATCTACACAACAACATATAGTATTGTATCCTCCGCGACGAAGTCGGCGGGGATACTATGGTTTCATGTCTGTCCAGCCGCCGCCGCCGCCGCCGCCGCTCTCGCTCGGTCCGCCGCAGAGAATTTCCCTTCCGCTCTGTAACTCGGCCCCTAATTCTTGACCTAGCGCGACCAAACTTGGTATACTTACACATCTTGGGGAGAAGGTGTGCAGAGTAACAAAACCAGGTCGCTGCAACCTTTATTTGACCTTTACCTTGACCTTGATCATATTTCCCTTCCGCTCTGTAACTCGGCCCCTAATTGACCTAGCGCTACCAAATTTGGTCCACCTTCTCCCCAAGATGTGTAAGTAAGCAGCGTACCAAAACCAGGTCACTGTGACCTTTATTCGACCTTTACTTTGACCTTGATCGTATTTCCCTTCCGCTCTATAACTCGGCCCCTAATTGACCTAACTTGCTATACTTATACATCTTGGGGCGAATGTGTGTCGCGTACCAAAACCAGGTCACTGCGGCTTTTATTTGACCTTGACCTTGACCTTGACCTTGACCTTGATCATATTTCCCTTCCGCTCTATAACTCGGCCCCTAATTGACCTAGCGCGACCAAACTTGGTATACTTACACATCTTGGGGAGATGGTGTGTCGTGTACCGAAACCAGGTCACTGCAACCTTTATTTGACATTGACCTTGACCTTGACCTTCATCATATTTCCCTTCCACTCTATAACTCGGCCCCTAATTGACCTAGCGCGACCAAACTTTGTATACTTACACATCTTGGGGAGAACACGGGGGATACATGTAGTTGGCGACAACTGCCCTTTCTAGTTTATAATGGGAGTCAATGGGAAAACGTGAATCACGGCTTTTTCTTGTATGAACTTTTTTCTGGAATGCATTATTTACGTAATGCTGCATATTACTGCAAGTCTATTAGCTCTGTATCTATCATTTGGTGTGTCAAGCTACATTTTTACGTACCCACATGTATACTTATCACTTAACCCATCGAAGATAAAAAGGTCACTTTTTTCAACCTACCATACACTGTGCGTACAGTGAATTCAGTTGAAGTGATAGCCTGTGATAGATGAAACATTTCAGCTTGTTTGTACATCACAGCACTTGTTTCTTCTTGATTGTTTTGTTTCTCTTGCTGCCAGCTTCACCCTCGCTATGACGCAGCTGAACGCAGCTCAAATTTGGGAGTGCTACTGATTGAGTTCTTTGAACTGTATGGTCGACACTTCAACTACCTGAAGACCGGAATCCGTATCAAAGACGGTGGTGCTTACATCGCGAAAGATGAAGTGCAGAAGGACATGGTGGATGGCTATAGGCCATCTCTGCTTTGCATTGAGGATCCTCTCACTCCTGGTACTATATTCACATCTGCATTCCATCAATGACTATTAACGACTGATCTCTATGCCATTTAGACATGCGATTATTCTGCATTCACAAGTGTTTTGTGTAATGAGGCTCGTGACGTCTAGTGTACCCAGGTTCTGCTATGGTACGGGCACTTGTGTACCCTGAGGTAAGCACAAATAATAGACAGACACAAAGTGTAACGTACAACGATAGATCTATTCCTTTATCACCAACACTACAGTCATAATACAGGGTTCGTAGGGTTAGTAACAACAGCAAAAGTACACGCTTCACAGCGCCAATTAGTCATGTACACCTTAATAACTTTCTAAGGTATTCACACAAATACAATCCGTAACATGTGTTACGTCTATCAATAACAACCGTACGTCTATCAATAGAGTACCTCGAATGCAAAGGAGTTTATCACAAAAGATACTATGGCTCAAAAGAGTTTAAAAACACCAATACGATAACATGAATACGACAAGACAAGCTATACTCACATCTTCGAGACCCAGGGTGATTCTAACTTTCTGTTTAAAAGCGGCTGTATTTATCCTAACTTTTACGTCAATTACCATACTAAAACACATGCTTAAAGAGTAGCCACGCCTCTTGACCGCACATGGGAACTAACCACTCTCACTAACTTTCGTTACGTCCACAAACCTCCTGCATTCATTAGTTACGCATGTTTAGAATACTATGGCTACTTGAGGACACATTCCTAAGGCTCCCTAGCTGACACTAACGAGGCGGGTGCTGGCTCATTGTCCGCGGCGTCTCAAGTGATATCGACGCGCGGTCTATATTATAATCCCCTAATAACAATGGCATACGCGTCACTACATTTGTGGTTTGGATTGTTTGTTAACTAGAATCAATGTGTAGATAATCATGATATATATGATTTGTGTGCAGGAAACGACATTGGACGTAGTTCGTATGGTGCCCTGAATGTGAAGCAAGCATTTGAATATGCGTACCTGGTGCTCAGTCATGCAGTGAACCCACAGAACCAACACCTGTTTAGCAAAAACGGCAGGTAACACAATCCTCCATGTTTAAATGGTTATAATAAGGAAACTAATTTGCATGCTGCGAGTGTCTGTTGAAACTAACAGTGCTATTTCACACTTGTATGATGTACATCAGAAGTAGATAATAAGGAAGGAGTGTGACTTCAATAAACAAGGGAAATTCGTTATTTACTAGCCTTAGAATACCTACGGTTTACTACGCGTAACTCAACCAACTTGAGCTCAAATCGTACACAGTCCATTCGCCTAGCATCGTGCGAAATCGTTTCCTCGTATACACCCGCAATCCGGAGATACAGACTAAAACGTACGACACGATTCTCCGTTCTGTTGCCAGCAAACCGAATGTATAAACCGCCTAACTTGAAACAAAAGGCAGCTACTAACGACTCTTGCACACTCTTGCGCCCTCGGCGATGCGGTGTGGCTCGCTGGGAGATTGGATATCGACGCAACACTCAGCGAGCTAATCTTTGACCTAGCTGCCTTTTGTTTTAAGTTAGGCGGTTTATACATTCGGTTTGCTGGCAACAGAATGGAGAATCGTGTCATGCGTTTTAGTCTGTATTTCCAGATTACGGGTGTATACGAGGAAACGATTTCGCACGATGCTAGGCGAATGTACTGTGTACGATTTGAGCTCAAGTTGGTTGAGTTACGCGTAGTAAATCGTAGGTATTCTAAAGCTAGTAAATGACGAATTTCCCTTGTTTATTGAAGTCACACTCCTTCCCTATTATCTACTTCTGATGTACATGCTTATAAGCATAAATCTGGAGTCTAAGTTATAGCAGTGCTTAGAAATAGAAGCAGTAAAGGTTAGTTGTTAAGTGCTCTGAGGAACATTTGTAGATTATTAATTTATATTAAAACACGAAATTAGATTATTACATGCATGAAGATAAGAGTTGCAAAGTGAAACGTTACTTGCATAACAATTTCAGTAGTCATACAATATAAACTTGTTGCCTGACCACGCACTATATGGTTAGTTTGTGAAACATTACATGCTTGTCGTTTCATATAATTCACTATAGCTTGCTGGGACGAATCGTTCGTATCACCGATGAAGTGGTGGAGTACAGGAGCTGGATAAAACAATCGTTTCCGGTGAACGCGCATCTGAGCTCATCTTTACAGACGTACATGAGCACCGTGAATGCTCCAAGCCACGCACCTCAGAAGAGGTATTCATTGGTACTAAAAACTGGTGCTAAACTTGGTCTGTAGCTTTTTAATTGGTCCCCTATCTCTGTTGGTCCTGCCAAGTTTAGCATGGGTTGTGGGACATCCAATGGTGTGTTATGTTCGCTCTAGTTTCTGTGGTCAGTAGTATTTACTGGACGGGTCATTGATGAGGCCATGCAGTTCCAGCAGAGCTTTGTTCTCTTTGTTTCTTGATAATGTACATTGTAAACCATCTATTTATGATATTATAATTGCCAAGGCACTAATCAGTTAGTTTAATAGTGAAACCTACATAAAGCATAGTGAAGTTTCAGCCTAGCGTTTGTTTTGCAATAAACCATGCCAATTATTGCTAATCAGTAATTGCGGTCAAAATTCTCCCTTTCTGGGGGCAATGCCAGATTTATGCGCGTGATGTGTAGAATGATGTCATACCAGGCCTGCAGTTGTCTGTTAGCTTTACAGCAAATTATGATAATAATTTGTGGTGTAGGCCGTCATTTCCCTCAATACAACAAGGATGATTCAGGCAGAGCCCAACGCTAAACGAAGGTAATTGAAGCAAGGAACGCCACCTAGAAAGTTGAGGAGGTCGTTGGGAAGGCCAAGTATGTCATCAAGACTGTTTTAAGCAAAACAACGTCTTTGTACTACCAACAGTGCACTAACTACTTGCTTCTCTGTGTTATGTCTTGCAGCAACCTTCTCTTGGATAGCAGTCGGCAAGAGGAGAGTGAGTGCTCGAGTGATAGCAGCTGTCGGTCGTCAACTAGCTCTATCGCCAATTATTGGAGTTCGAGCATCGGCAGTGACACCGTATGTACAGAGGCGTAGTTAGTGAGCTGAGCCATCCCACCTAAGCCATCTTGCATGTGTACTGCTACTCTTTGTTTGGCCATTAAGTGTGTGTTTGTAGGCTGCGTGAGTTACCTTACATGTGAAATGTTGTGCTGGAGTGTTTCTCTTCTTGGCAGTGTAGAGGCTGGGAGCTGAGCTAACCGTCATTATTATTGGGGGTGGAACAGCGAGCTGGGCATTATGCTAATAGTTTGTTGCCGTAATGTCTGTTTTCAAAGTAGATGCTTATGACAATGCTTACCATCTTAAAGCTCGATTTTCTATATTCGAGTAAGATCCTGGTTAGGGTTATGTTCATTACTCGCCAAACCTCATGTTTTAGAATAGACCATTTTTTTAATTATCTGAGTCTGTGGGAGAAGAAACAGTGTAATTCCTTGTCAATTGAAAATCATCATACTTTTTAAAGTGATTAGAAGTATGAAGGTGGTTGTTTGTAGGATGGATGAATTTTCTATCTGTAGATGTCGGGTAAAGCCCTATATACATGAGGAACTTCGACAGATTCCTAAGTCAGTGATGGGTTCCATTGCCGTGTAGTCTTTGCCCATGCGTCAGCATTGGCACGAACGTGAAAACATCCCACGCACTAGACATTATCACCAAGGCCATTCAGAGCAGTGTGTGTTAGGCCATCCCTGGAGGTGTCGACTATCCAGTAGTGAATCTCTGCGTTTGTGCGTGGAGAGTTTCGCTGGTAAAGAGCACCAGGTAAAACGCAGAACCGGCTGACACCATGGTTTTCAGGTGTGTGTGTGTGTCTGTGTGCGCAGGACTCGGAGAGCACTACAACTGAGAGTGGGCCGAGCCAGCTGTCGCAGGGTACTGCCGATGCGCGGCGCGCCAGCCTCAAGAGCGACTCGCCAAAGCGCAGGGCATCCGACGGCAGCAGTGCCAAACAGAGCGGGACCGGCGTGCGAGGCCCTCGCAGCCTCAACTGGCGCGAGCAGACTCCACAGGTGCCCAGCACATACCAACGCAGCTACAGATCGTTCAACAACAAACGCAGGAAAAACCAGAGGAGAGACAGCGCCAACACCAGTCGATAACAGGGATGGATACACTGGGAAGGAGGGTGGGGGGCGCAGGGATGAAACCTCTCAGTGTATGTATGTATATATGTGTGTGTATATATCCATTTGTGTCGAATGTGACCACAGGATATTTTAGCGTTGCCCCGTCATCTTGGCGTGAGATGTGCTGCAACTGCTGTGGTCAGTGCTCTCTAATAACATGCCAGAGACTTCAATGCGGGTGCAGCGATGGTTGAAGTCACGTGGCACAATGTCATGTAGCAATCCCGGTAGACCTGGATTTCAATATAGGAGATCTTGGGCAACAGTCGTCTGATACTTCTTGGACATCGACAGCCGTTTTAAGATTTGACAGGTGTTATGTCGTCCATATGGAAGACCATCTTAATTGATACTAACTTAGACGTTGATGCTTTTTCTTGTGGAAATTGTGCTCGATTGCAAATGAAGCGTCGTTTCTCAAGGACCGCTTTTTCGATGGGAGCCAAAGTAGTTGCCCAGCATATCAACATCTGGTGATGTCTTCCTCCATCGTAAAACACCTCATAAGATTTTGTCAGCTGCAGGTATTGTGCGCTTTCAGATGCTGACTAAAAACATGCACTTTTGAGTTACATAGTGTGGCAGTATGGTGTATTGCATAGAATGTTGTTGATATCGTAAATATTATAGAAATTCTTTAATGGTGGTGGGTGCAAATCAGTAATCATATTTTCATCTCGACGTGAACATTCAAAATCCATGTAACATTCACAGTACTGTGTATATGTATGTTTGTATCATTTTTATCTTTTGGCATTTAGTGAGATGACACAGACTTACAGGATATTTGTATCATACAGAGGAACGTAAGGTTGCATTTTAGTGCTATGCCGGCTGTTTTATAGAGTGTATGTTTGTTGTATGTGGATGATTATTAAGATGTTAGAGTAACTGAAGGTTTGTGTGTGTGCAAACGTTGGAGTGTGATGTTAGATCTGTGAGTGATTGGTCTGGAGAGTGTCCTGGGCCTGATCGAGTTCTACTTGATAAACAATTGCTTGTTATTAATGTAAACTGTACATGGACCACGCAGATATAGCGCATTTAAATGCTCATTTATTCATTGTTGACTTATTAAGCCCCAAATCTGTGGTACATATTCGCACATATATAACGCAAAACTGTGCAATTAAATTATAATTGGGTGATGATGGCCCTATTGTTGATGTGATGGATCAGTCTTTACATTGCCAAAGCTTTGTGTATGCGGGACAGTGAATTAAGTTATGGTCTTAGTCTATATGTAACTCGTTAGGAGGTGTTTAGTTTAATGTTCATATCATCATTGCATGAGCTAAGACAGCACTAAACTGAGAACGAGTGATTTAGGCTTCCACGCGTGCATTAGGAAAATAGCAGCTTCAGACAACGAGTCAATTATTTAACTATTGCTACCCCTACCGCATCCGGTGCGTTCTCTTATCATCTATTGTTTTTCTTTTAACTAAGAGCATTCCTGATTGCCCGTCTCTTCCACCGGGACTTGCTTGTAGATTCACCGTTTTATATACAATATACGTTTCAAAGAAGCTTGGTGCGATTAGTCCTTGATGATGATACACCTGTGCGTGTAAAGGATAGCATTATTTTTAATTTAACCAGTCCACAACTTGCACATAACGACGCAAATCTGTATGTGGCTGCAATCATGAACGTGTCTGTACCTGTATAGATGTGCTCGTTCTACAGTACCTGGAAAGACCTACTCACATGTTTCATTAGCAATCAAATGCGTGCAACCCTTTGCTGTAGTAATAAGTATTTGCACACAGTGTGCATTAAGCAGTGCTAGCCAGCTCGAGCGGATTATAGTGAAAAGTAACTTGTGCGTCCGGTACTTATTCTTTAAAGATGGTTCAAGCAGGCCATGTGCAAAATCGGTATCCTGCTTTTAGTTGTCTAGAGTGTGATGTAGCAAGGCATAATTTAATTTAGATTAGATACCGGTTAGCATTGTAATCTATGAATTTTTTATTTCAAATTTGTTTCGCTATTTTTCATACCTGCCCTAAAAGATTGCTCCAAATGCTATAGTGCTAATGGAAAAGGGTTCGGGGGGGGGGGATTTGGTAGTTTTCACTCGATTCAGATTGTTCATTAGCGTAACTACTGCGATGTATGTGAATCTGATTACAGTAAAGTCGTAGTTGAAATTCATATTACTATAGGTAAACTGTTTACTTTATAATATCATTTTTAATGTGGACCATAGATAGCGTAGGCAGACCGAGTATCTAGATATTGAGATTTATTGTTCGAGAGTTATAGACTCCTACCCTCTCATACCAAGAATATCTGGAGCACAGAATATACAGTGAAACATTATATCTGTGTTTGTGTATGTGTATGTAGTCAAGTTATATGGTATCTCTCACTTACAAAATAGATGCCATAATTTATGCTACTCAGAGAAGTCCACGGTCATGACGAAATGACTGCATGTGCCAGCAATGGCTCAGGATAAGTTTTGATAGTTGTGTAGTGTCGTCCGGTGTACACCTTGATTTATACTGGGTGTGTACATGTGCGTAATGCGAAGAGCGATTGTAATTTGCAGTATTTACATTATCTTAGTATTAGTTTATTGTTGAAAATTTCAGAATGCTTTAGAGGCATATACAACGTGCTCGCATATTTCTTGCTAATGTGCGTGGTTTAATGGAGCGGGGTAGCTGGTGTTGCTATCGTCTATGATTACCGTGAAACTGTGTCACTGGGGATCATATGTGATTTACTGTTGGGCTTCGTATTCATTTCTGTAAATGGAAACTCAAAACGCGGTGCCAATGATAACTGTTGCCAATATCTTAAAACGTAAATTGCTTGTGGAGTTGGAAAAATACCTCCTAGTTTCGAACATACTGGTCAATGTTCAAAAGCAGTGTGTAATCGATTTTTTAGAAGCTGATCAGATGATCCCACTAAGAGCTTCTTTTATAGCAGTAGTGCATCATTTCAATTATTTAATTTACGATAACATGTTACGTGCGAAACTATAGCTGTCAGATTACCCATTGACTCACAAGCGGTGTAAACGCCATTCTTGAAATGAATCAAAAGTAACGTGTAGGCCTATGTTAAAGGTAAAAGGCCACAAACTTGAATGAGCATTTCGAAAGCAAAAATCAAATAAAAAAAAGATTGATGTGGCCATGTTTCGGACAATAGGTGCGTTCACACTGGCGGGAATTAGTGGGATGCAAATCTCGGTTTTTGCATTCCGCTCGAAATACCGAGATTTTTACAAGTGTGAACGCAAATGTGTGGGTTGCTCTTGGTATAAGCAGATATGATGGGCTGGAATGCAGACCAACACGCCATTTTTTTATTGTGCCATGTTAATGTGTTGTTAGAATGCCGAGTACAACTTGATAGTTTCACTATTCTGATTGCTATGGTACACGTATCGTAAATAGGAATAGAAATACTATTCAAGCGAAGAATTTTCGTATGAATCCTCTGGTTGGGATACACCGTGCAGTGTGTGCAGCACTAAGTTGTATAAGTGTCTGCTTTCGAGGTTTAATCGCTAGGTATTCCTACGTATGCCCAACTACGAAAAACCCCGCCACGTACAAATACCAGTATAGCATCCTCGTGCAGTAGGCCTACGTTGTAGTTGATCCGGTGATGCTTATCAAAACTTTATTGAAATGTGTAATCCTAATTGTATAAAAAATGTATAAGATGCACAATTTTCGTTTAAACGCTTTTAGTATTGGAAAGATAAGTGCATGCACATATAAATTATTAAATTGTATGAACACCAGGGGCGTAGCTACGGGGGCCTGGGGGGCACGAGCTCCCCCCCACAAATTTTCTGTGCCCCCCCCAGGTGCCCCCCCACTGAAAATTCATGCTTGATAAAAAAAAATTGAATTAAAAACAATGCCGTTAGAACAGTATAATAGTAATACAAATAAAAGTTATATATTGTGCCCCCCCCCCCCGCTGGGAAAATCCTAGCTACGCCACTGATGAACACACGCTGCTATCTTGGGCTTTTGCATGCAGACGATTTAATACTACATATGTCGCTTTAAGGCATGTTTAGATAAAAAAAGGCAATATATGCGAAAATCTGTGAAACCCGTTGGAAGAAATTTAGCATAAAATTTTGGCCTGTTTTCAAGTTCTCCACACGCAGCTTCACTCTAATTTGCAGCTATGATAGGATTCGGCTAAGGCTGAATTAGGTATTTCTTAAGCCCGGCGCACACGTGGCGATTTTTATCGCTGCGATAAAAATCTCCACGTGTGCGCCGGGCTTTAGATAAACAGAAGCCGTAGGTATCGTTTTGATGTGGCAACACTATGACGCAACAAATTCAAGCTACTCACTGTGTATCGAATTCGTCTCTGCATGTGTGAACGTTGCAGCTTTCATTTTCTACTTCAGTCACTATATTGTAATGCTAAGAGTAACCTTTGGTGTGCATTAATTGTCATAAACCACCAGTAAGCATTAAGACGTGTGCAGTAATTTTCTTAATGAAAACTCGCCCTTAATATTGAATTTGAATGTTTTTGTGACAACTACAACCCAAAGTCGTAATGCAATATTTTTTTAAGTTGCATCTTTGCATCAACATGAATCATGTATGCGTCATTTCAGTTTTATTTGGTCCTATTTTGGCTTGTCTTCTTACGCCAGTGCAATGAGCAGAATGCATGATCGGATGGTTTGTTCTTGAACCCGTTATGCATAAATTCCGTTCTTGTGAGCGAGCATGTGTATTATTGTTGGTCGGTAGTGTGTGGCGTCAATCCATTTAATGGGTAAGTAATAGTATTCGTTTTGTAGCGTGTTGTCGATCACAGTAAATTTCTTAGCACCACCACCACTAGCTGCATGGCCTCGATTAATACCATTGGATGTACAAGTCCACAAACGGTTGGTAATTATCCGTGCAACAACCTAGTCATACTCACTAGTCATAAAATCTGTGTTATTGGTTTACCCTGACCTAACAGGAATTTCCGTAGTTTTAAGAATTTGTCTTCGCTCACTTATCATCCACGTGGACGTACTCTTGTGCATGTATATTGATAATTTGTGTGTTAAATTTTGGTGCCTATTTTTCTTCATGCAGTGTAAAGTAACTGTATATAGACATATTGTTGACAAGTGCCTGTTGATGAAGTTTTTGTTTTACTATATTGTACGATGATGTTTAATATGTACTTAGATAAGAATTCTCTTATTGGTTTATTAGTTATTTAGTACTAAAGTTGGCTGTTAAAGGGAATGGATTGTTTCCATGTGTAAGCGCAGTGACATAAATGACTATATATGCGACTGGCAGCATTTTTTGTGAACCTACTACCGTTGTAAGGGTAAAGCTCTTATCAACGAGTGTTGCCGCGAACTGGTCTTTTATGTTTATAGTTTAAGCTTGCAAATTGTTTTATATTTCCTATGGGATGTGATAAGGTAAATGAGATAGCGTGGCGTCAGTCTCAGTGTGCAGGTGTGTAAGACAGTGACGCATTTTCAACTCGTGTGTTTCGAATGTTATGTAAACCTGCGCTTTAATGGCCCACAATGACTTGCCATCTATGCAAACGCGTTTGACATTATTTGGACATATATGGGTCGCATAGCACCCTCTGGCGTTTAGGTGTGAGCACACGGAACCCTCTGGGTCATGTGCACAGTGCACTTTGAACGTGTGCACGAATTCCTATGTATCATTTACTGTTCTCACTCACTATTGGTGTCATTGGAGGTTAGTACTTTGCTGTCGTCTTGGGTGTTTGAAACTCCCATCATCATACGAAAAAAACTGTACATACAAACAACTCAACTAATTGAATAAAAATGTCGACGCGAATGAAAAGATGACTGTTGAAAGCGCAAGTGAAGGAATTTTGCCATGTCAACACTGCTTTTCGCAGTAGTGTGGCAAGTATAATTTTAATGAATAAACACATTAAAAAAAGTATAAAAAGTTCACGCGCCTGTTATTGTTATTGTTGTGTCTATAATAGTGGGGCAGATATGTAACAAAAATAGGTCGAAATGTTCACATCCGGCAGAAAGTGTGAAATTTTGCATACAGGGGTATTTTGACATGCTGAGTTCGAAAATTGCCGGATCCAAGAGTCTGACACTGGATCGGCCGCCATCTGAATTACAATATGGCCGCAATAACGAAACATTGAATATTACTATCTTGGTTCTAAATGACCTGTGCGCGTGAAATTTGTACACAAGGGCATTTCGACATGCGGGTTTAATAATGAATTAATTTGAAATGTCTGACAAACCATATGGCGCCATCTTGAATTCCAATATGGCCACCATAGAGAAAAAATGAACATTACTATCTTGGTTCTAAATGACATGTTGCGCTTATATTTGGTACACAAGAGCATTTTGCCATGCTGAGTTCAATAATGGATTGATTTGACCATGTCTGACAAACCATATGTCAGCCATTTGAATTCCAGTATGGCCGACATGACGAAACATTGAACATTACTACTCTGGGTTCTAAATGACCTGCGGCGCTGAAATTTGGTACACAAGAGCATTTTGCCATGCTGAGCTTCAATAATGGATTGATTTGACATCGTCCTGACAAACCATACATGGCAGGGCCATCTAATCGCAGTATAGCCGACATGAACGAAATGCTGAAAAGTCTGCCCTGAGGTTCTAGAATCACGTAAGGCACTGAAACTTGAAACTCAAGAGAATTTTTATATCTGAGTTCAACATTGTTTAATAAGTGCCAAGAAACGCCATATTCCAAAATATTTTCGCTCACGGCAAGAAATGCTGTAACATGCCGCAACCGACGTTTTGACCATCTATTCTTGCTTGCTCCTGAGCTGCACACTGGGAAGCATTGTCCGGAGCAAAACACAGTTCTGTCATGGAGTAGAATAGCCGCGGAACATTTGCAATTTCAGCACATCGTTTCTTACATTTGCACTTGATCAGCCTCTCGCAGCCCCTTTGACGCCTCTGCCATTCATTCGTCCAAGAAATTGGACGTGCAGTCCATCATCAGCATTTTTCGCCACATCCCCAATCTGCAGGTGTAAGGCAGCTCTGGGTTTCACAATTATGAGAGGTCCCCAGATGTGACGGCAGCCTGAAAGACTGCCGCTCTCACATGTGACCGGCAGTGAAGCTCTTATGGTCGGTGAAATTGTTTCCGCAATTGCCGATTTCCCTGAGCAAAGCACTGCTTCCGTGCTTTGTTCACTTTCTATCAGAGCGAAGTTCTACTGTAACAGAATCAATGAACAACCTCTCTGATGTTGTTGCATGTCCACATTTTGTTACTTCCCCCTGGTGGGCATGTGAGAGATGA